TTGTACGTGCAATTGTCCCGCCGACACGACCCATACTTGACAAATGCAATGCAAAACCCCTTAGGCACACGTTGGCTCTCAGCAGCGGGTGCGGCTGGCCTACCCCCGTTCTGCCTAGCAACCCGTTCTCGGTTGCGCTCGAGCCTTGCTCGAGACAGGTATTGCCTCACAGATTCAATCAAGTAGGTGTATGAGTGATCGGCGGACTCTTCCGAGGCGCTCAAATAGACATTCAAATGGTGTTGCATTTGCTTGCTCTTTTTCAGCTGGTTGTAGAACAGAGCCTCAAGCATGGAGTCATCCGGCGTCTTGGCATTCATTCCTGCAAGAACACCCTCCCAGCTACGCATGAAGGAAGTGAGGTTATCGTTCACGAGCCTCACGTTGAGGAGATCCTCCATGGCATAGGTGGCTCCGTGCTTGATGTTCGTGCTCAGGTGCTCATGCACCATAAGAAGCACTTGTCTCCCACGAACTGGATTCCTCTTCTGCGCCTCTATCTCCTTGAAGGTGTCGACTTGTCTCGCCAGGTCACCCTGAATGATGTTGGTGAGGGCGGACAGCAACTTGGCGTCCAATGTGAGGAAGGCACCGGGATCTTTGAGCTCCTCGATTGTGACGGCGGGCTCCCACACTCTGCTGATCCACGTGAAAGCGTCATCAGGGCGGTCGGATGCCGCACATACGGCTTCCCGCACCTTGATGCGCCAATTCCTGTAACTCTCAGGAAGTGGGAAGGATGGAACAACAATCCTCTCCGCCTCCTTGACCTTGGGCTTGTCATGGTCTGCGTCCACTGCGCTCGCCTGCTTACCCAAGATCTTGTTGAGCTTCTTGCGGATCACTCGTGCCTTCTCCGATGATGATGATGAGGATGATGATGTTGAGGAGCTGGATGATGAAGAGCTTGGAGAGTCGGAAGGAGACCCACTCTTTCGCTTCTTGTGGCTCTTCTTCTTCTTCTTCTTGTCCTTTTTGCTCTTCTTCTTTTTATCCTTCTTCTTCTTCTTCTTCTTGTCCTTCTTGCTCTTCTTCCCATCGTCATTCCCATCGTCATCGTCGTCGTCAGGATCATCGTCATCATCGGGATTACCGGCAGGTGGTCCCCCACCGCCTCCGCTCTGGCCATTCCCTGCGCCTGATGGACATCCGCCACCATCGTTAAGGTCCTGTGCCGGAGATGTCGGTTCGTAATCCCCGGCATCCCCGTCAAGATCATCGGCGGCACCTGGCCCGTCACGGCGGAGTTCGGTGGAAGCTGACCTGACACGTACCTTCGAACTAAGATCCAGGCCAGGGGGAGGAAACGTCTGTACAGGAGAGGCCTTTGGCCTCAGACCGAAAATCGGAACATTAGAAGAACTACTCTGCTCACTGCGAGATTTCAGTTCATGACGTAGTGCCTCAATGTCCCTCGACTGCTTCATGATAATCTCCCTCATTTCAGCAGCGTTCCTGTCCGCATCCTCCTTCTGCTTGTTGTGGGTGACTTCCCAAATCAATTTGAGCCGTTCATACTTCTGTTCAGCTTCTGAGCGTTGAGCAACCCACTGCTGTCTTGCCTCGTTAAACTCTCTTTCTTTCGCCATTGCCTCTTGTTGGCATACATTGATGTGGTTCACCGCGTCCTGATAGAGTCGGCCCTTTTCCTCAACATGGCCGGCTTGGAGCTGATTGATGATGGCGTCGTGGCGTGCCGAAGCATAGGCAGCCACATCCTCTGTACTCGGACCTGTGTTGACCACATTTACCGTCTGGCTGTGTTGATATATGTTTGGGGCGCTCACATGATGTTGATGAAGGTGAGTCTCATTCTTAGTCATGTGCGCGTGCATCTCTTGCCCAGGTTGATGTCCGGCGAGAGGTTCCCCTCCGCTTCCCATCGAATCCTCCGGAAGAACGACCGATGTGATGGGCACAAGCGCATCACCTTGGTCGGATTCAGGAAAACTGCTTCGGGAGCGCTGTGACGGATTGCATGGCGGTTTCCCTTCCGGATGCCCACCCTTGATCAATTCGTTGGCCACTGCTTCGTTCATCCTTGCTATGGCAGGGTGGCATCCGTCGCCGCTTGACGCCATTGCGGCGCGGGTGAGAGCTGACTGTACAAGGTACCAGCGATACGGCTGATAACCTGTTGAAAGGTGGGATCTACCTAAAAGTCAGCACGGGCAGCAGCTTGTTTTTCTTGAGCCATTGTCATGTCAGTATGCCATTACCTATCAACAGTTTGGTTGGGGAAGCCAAGCGGTTTTGGCTCTTCAGGGGGTGTGTCAGATGATCTCAGATGTTTTGAGGGGGTTTAAGGGGAAACGGAGGTTTTGTTTGGGTTTCTTTTGCTATCCTTTTGTTTGGGCAGATCGACCCCATAGCTTTAAGCTGGAGAAAACACATGGGCGTGTTCTTTTGTCAGCTTTTGGTTAGTTACAAGGGAAACCGTTGTTCTTGGTTTTAACTTGGTCGACGTTGGAAGGGGAGCAACCAAAAACTAGCAGTGAAGTGGGGATTTCCCACTAAACCACAGTAAGCAAAAAAATCCACGATGTTTCCCAACAACAACCATGTTAAGGGGAAAACGTTGTTTGTTTGTGTTTCTTTTTGCTATCCCATAGCTTTAAGCTGGACACTGGAGAAAGCACAGGGGTGTGTCGTTCTTGAGGAACCCCCGTTTGGCTTTTGGTTTCAGGTGGAAACCAAAGGAACACCACGATTTTGGGCGTCCCATGAGTCCAAAAAAGGAACCTTGGTTGACGTTGGAAGGGGAGCAACAAATTAAATTTTAGCAGCTCAGTGGTTGGATTTCAACCACTAAACCACAATAAGACACCAACCATGGAACACCCACACGTTTTGGGATGGCGATCAAACCGCAACTTGGTACCTAGAGTCTCCATGACCCCTAGAAAAAGGGGTCATGACCCCTTAATTTTGGGCAATGACCCCATTTTTAAAGGGTCATGGAGAGTCTAGGTAGATTCATCGGGGGCGTTGCAATACGAAATCCTGCACAACCCAAGAAGTCCTCATTGTCTCTTGGGTGGTGCAGGATTTTGTCCATCCACAGAATGACCTCGACGGGCAAACTGGGGCGGGCATTAAATAGACCTCAGCCACAGCACTATCCGGGAACGGAGCATCGGTTCCACAAAGGCCAATGCTGGGCTACCATAAAAAGCGACCAAACAGAGAATGGGGTTGCAACTTGCCCTATAAACCCTGACCTTTCCGTCAAAAGGGCGGGTGTATGCACCTTCAGTTCTGTCAAATCAGCGACAACGATTGTCAGCCTATCCACTGCTTGATAAGCCCCCAGGAGCCCAAGACCTGATTTTAGAGGCCTTTGGGCCTTTGGGGGTTAAAGGCCCTCACATATAGGGTCTCGGGGCTCCTAGGGAGCGTTGTTATCGGCTTTTTCTGGGGAAGGGGAAGTTCCCTCACATAACAATCACCAGGTTGTTCACTTTCGGCTCAACCCTCCTCAATTTCCATCGGTTGATCTGGGTGTGATAGAATTGGGAAAAGGGCCCTCACATGATTCCCACTTTTTGATTTCCTTTCAAAACCGCAACAAAGAACAGTCCGATCATCAAAAAAGACACGCGCGCACACAAACACAACCGCACACTCACACAAAGAAACACACAACAACTAGCACAAACACAAGCGAACAAAACACATACAAAACCACAAAACACACAACAAAACACATACACACGAACACACAAGCACACGCACACACACACACACACAGCACACACACACACACAAACACAATCACACACAAACACAAAACCACCTTACAAACTCACAACGCGAAACAAACAAACACACACACAAACTCTCACACACAAACACACGAAGAAAGAAACAACGAAAGAAAGAACGAAAGAAAGGGCGAAATAAAAAAGAAAGAACAAAAGAACAAAGAAGGCAAGAAAAAAATAACGAAAGAAAGACAGATAGAAACACAGAAATACATAAAGCAATAAGGGGAAAAACAAAAAAACAAACAAACACACACACACACACGACGCCCACACAAGCAACACAAATACAAACACGAAAAAAATCCCAAACACAAACACACACACACAAGCACGCTTTCACAACCACATCCACAAACAAATAAACCTAGACACAGACACAAACACAGGCACACACACAACCACACACACACAAGCACATGCACAAACACAAACACAAACACACGAACACACAAACACAAACACACAAACACACTCACACACACAAACACACTCGCACACACACACACACATACTTAGACTCCTATCGAGCGCCGAGCATGCACATGCTGGCTTCCCTCTAGCTCCTCAACAGGGACGCGTCAAGCAACAGCCATTGAGTGAGGCGGGGGGGAGAAAGAGTCCTTCCGATCATCGTCCGACGCTAAAAAAGAACACACACACACACAAACACGAAACAGAGACAGAAACAAAAACCCAAACAGCTCTCACTCCATTTTGGCTGCCCTCCCAGCAAACTGGAACCTCCCAGAAAGGTCCTGGAAACCGTTTTTCTTCTAAAGGGACCCCCCCCTATCCCAAAATAACCCACAGGTTTCCTCGTCCCTCCCCTGGTTGACGTTGGAAGGGGAACATGTAAAACATGTTTCCCAACAACAACCATGAACTCAGATGCGTGGCCAAAAAAAAAAAAGGCATCCTTTTTGGGTTGGTTGAGTTTAAAGAGAACCCTTCCCAAACACAAAGGAAAAAAGGTCTTTCATTCTCTGAAGTTTCATCGAACAGCAGCTGTCACATATTTCCACTAGTCGTGGATTGCCGGGGTCCCTTGAACCCCCTCCCCCCCGAAAAAAAACCACGGCGGCATGATGGGGTTTTCCTCTCGGCTTCCCTGCAAAACCACCAAGAACGGGTATCCTCCAAAAAAACAATCAGGCACGCCCTTCTTCCCTGACCGAACGAACACGGCGCGCGCGAGCGAGCGCCCGAGGGCGCCCGAGCCAAGCGCCGAGGGGCCGGACTTGCCCAGGCGGTTCAGCCGGCCCTCCGCGTCCAGCTCCAGCACTCCTCCGGCCATCTCCACCTTCCCGTTTTGACCTGGCGGAGTCTTTTTTCATTTTCACAACCCAGAGGCTCCTGAACCTTTCAATGGAAGACCCGACCTCTCCATTAGACACCCCGGAGGTGTTTGGGACCCGGTCTCAAAACCTGGCTGTTTGAGGGCCCCTTCGATACATCGGGAGCCTCTGGGAAGCGTGCTTGGGGTCCCCGAAGAACGGATACCAGTTGGATGCTTGAAACGTTTGCTTGGACCTTGGGACCCTTCCCCAGGAGCCCCTTGGACCTCATTATTTTAGGGCTTTCGGGGGTTTAGGGTACCAACTTTTTTTCACTAGTCTATGGAACCCTCCCCCAACAAAGTTGGTCAAGGGACACGACTGGACCCAGAAGACTCTCCCTGACCCTTTCGATCTTATGTTCCATCGCGAGCGGCGCCGAAGAAAGGCCACCAGCAAGTGTTTTGGGGATGTCATTCCCTCATTTCTGGGGTGCTGGGGGGTTTGGAGCGGCGCGGTTTAGACTCTCCGGTTATGACCCAGTTGAAAACAGGTGGTCATGACCCGAATCTTTGCTTTTGGTAATGACCAACCATTTTCAAAGGGTCATGGAGAGTCTAGGTCGAAACCTGGTTGAATGAAACCAATTGCTGTTCATTGTCATGGGAAACCAGAATTATTTGGATCAGTCCGAGCGGTTTCCTGTTGGCTTCCTGCTGGATTCAACCCCGCGGGGATGAAAATTCCGGTTGGTGGGGACTTACGTTGGGGAATCGAATCAAACACCGGGGTTTCTTCGGCGGCTTCTTCCAAGTTGGCATTTCCTCGCTGCGAGGGCTTTTGAACGGTATGAACCCCATGGCCCGTCCAACTGCTTGCTTGCTTCTTTTTTCTTCGGGCATCCCCAGGTTCGTTCCCACATTGCCTGGTCGATAAACCCCCCATGTACCGGAAATAACACCGTCAAAGTACCCCGCGAAATTGGAGATCCGCATAAGTTTGGGGCAATATACCCTCAAACAGACGAGCTGCACAAACATAATTTCGTTTTAGGAAACGAGATACCTGAAGCCTCCTTCTACCAAAATCTGTGGGGTCATGACAACTCTGTGTTAAAGGGTCCTGACAAAAGGAGACTCCAGATAGACGTGCTGCACAAATTTAGTTCCGGCAGTTCTGGCGGATTCTTTTCTACCCAAGTGGTAGGTTAAAGGTTAAAGGGAACCTTGCCGAGTTTGTGACCTTGCCAGAAAGAGTCATGATGACTGAACCATCAGGGATGGATCCGTGGACGGACAAAATCAGTTTCGCACCAGGAAATTAAACCATGGTGAAACCACAACGTTTGTTTGGTATTTGCAGCGGAATCGAATCATTCCAGGGTTTCTTAGGTGCGAAATGGATTTCTGAGACCCAGCAAGATGGCCTCTCTCCCAACTTTTCGACGCTGACTTCGTCTCATCTAGGTCCTCCAGATTTGAGAGGTTGGAATAAGGGTACCAACTTTTTATTTGGTCTATTAGTAGGGGGAGGAGAATGAAGAAGGAATGACCGCAGAAGCGATCCAATTGCGTTCTGTTCCCTAAGCCGTTTAACTCGTCGTGTTTCCTCGCATCTCAGACATGCAATCATAATGACGGTATACTTACTCCTCACCTATACATATAGATTCTGTTGTTTCGTGGCAACGTGGATGGGGGGGTGTTCTCCGCGTATTTCACATCTACCACAAAAAGGGCACAGCGAAATCCATTTCGCACCACCTAAGAAACCAATCCCAATCAGCAATGGTGTCCCATGGTTTCAACGGTCATTTTCCGTGTTACTTATAGCGTAGTTGTGAGCAAGAACAAATATATTGATGCCCAAATCTGCACCCTGGGAGGGGGGAACAGAGAAGCGTGGGGTTCCTTTGGTGGTCTAGTTGCGGCAGAACTGGGCTTGCGTTTTTTGGAGGGTGCCCCTTTTGCACATAACTTTTAAAGGAAAATCAAAAAATGAGGGTCCCGCATTCTAACACACACCAAAATGACTAGTAACCCACGAGCTTATCACAGTTGGGTGGTCAACTGGAGGTCGCATTTGGCCAAGTGCCGGAAGGCCGGGGTTCTCAAAGATGGGACCCGGATGCGGAAGGTGGCTAAATGGTTGCTGTCCCTTGTATCTTGGGGACTTATCCTGTGGCCTATGATCACGCAATTCAACTCCGGACCACCAAAACACACAAACACAGGTAACTACGGTACGGCTAGCGCTTCGGTTCCAGAATTGGTGGCTAAGCATCGTCGAACGGATTCAAAGGATTTGGCGATACCTGACATGGTTTCCGATGTGGATGCATCTCGAGGTCCTCCAGTAGAGAGGTTAGAATAAGGGTACCAACTTTTTGTTGTAGTCTATTTTGGTAGGGGAACGCTCCCCCAAAAAAGGGGAGAGAAGGGCACCATTGGGGGACCTAGGGTAGGATATGGAATCCTTGAAGCTGGGGACGAGCGGCGCGCGTGCCTATCCTATTAGCTAAGTCCCGACCACCCTCTTGCCTTGAAGAAGTGGAAAATGGTGGGATCGGCTATGCACCATGGTGCCAACGATCAGGAACTCCTCGATCCATGCGCGTCCGAGCTCGAAAAAACAAACGCACCGGACACATAGACTGTTCAAGCATGACGGGTGTAGTGGATCTGTCATTGTTTAGTGCATTTGGACATAGATACTTTGAGACCTATGGAAACAGTACAACAACAGTGGTACGAGCAACAACAGTTACCACAATACGCAGAAAAAGGCAAAACTGAGAGAAAAACCGCACCATATCATGTAACACATGTTGCATGGCATTGTGACTACGCTTGTGATTTAACATACGTTCCAAGGGCGTATTCAATGTGGGACACTCAACACGAGCCCACAGCCTTGGCTTGTGTACCACTTCAGCCTTGGCGGGCTGGGTTTACATGATGACCCCAACGACGTTTCAGGTTTTTTCAATGCTTCCAATCACTTTAGGAAGCCACAGAAACATACTCACACTTCTCTCCCTGACCCTTTAAACAACCTTGGTCATTTCCGAAAAGAAAGATTCGGGTCATGACCAACCATTTTTAAGGGGTCATGACCGGAGAGTCTGGGCAGACACGCATTGAGACGAGCCTTGGGAAGTCAAGGAAGGATCTTCGTTGCTTGGCCCGCTCTGGCGGCCTTGGGGCGCGATTCAGACTCTTCTTGCTGACTTTTCTCGGCCTCAACCGGTTCAACGGCGCGGAGTGAAGTCGACGCTGGCGCAGATCTAAGAAACCAAGTCGCGAGGCAGCCGTCCTTGAGAGGTGACCGCATCTCAGCCAGTCTGCTTCCCCAACATGGGAATCTTTTTGCCTCGCCCCCCTGGCTGTGTGGGGATAGACCAAGCAACCCAAAGGACCTGGACATAAATCGCTAGCCTTTTGTTACCTAGACTGTTAATGCACCAAACGTGGGAAACCAAAAAGGCAAAAGCTTGGGTTTGGGCAAGTGAGTAGAGCTCGTCCCCTGCGTCCCTCCCAAATGAGCCATGGAAACGGCAGCCGTTTTGACCGCTTCGAAGCCTGGATTTCGAACGCCCACTGAAAGCTCCGCTTCAGGATTTCGCTGTTCGACGGTCGCATCGCCCAATGGGGTCGCATCGCGCGTTTGTGTGTGTGTGTGTGTGTGTGTGTGTGTGTGTGTGTGTGTGTGTGTGTGTGTGTGTGTGTGTGTGTGTGTGTGTGTGTGTGTGTGTGTGCGTGTGCTTTTAATGAGCAAAGCCGCCATTTTTTTGGGTTTCCGCTCTCATTTTCAGCACCCATGTCTCCCTTAAACCTAATCCTTCCATTGGAACCTCCTTTGGCATTCAAAGCCAAGGTGGGAAACCACTTGCGAGGTGGTTCCCTATCAACACTCGCAGCAAAAAGGCGAGCTTTGACCTGAGTAAACTCTATCCCGCAGAGCTATAACTTTCTAGGGCAAACAGGTGGCCGTGGGGCAGAACCTATGGCGATCCCATTTTGGGGTGGATGAACATCCATCCACCTAGTTTGATGTTCACCAGGGGTACAGGGTTTTGACAAACCGCCATGTAAGATGGTCCCAAAAGTTGATCTAGCAACCATGGCTTTTTCCCAAACGGGGACTTGCAGCCATGCGCTAAAAAGGACTCGGACCTGGGGTTTAATAGGTGGTGCAGGATTTCGTTCATCCACAGTAGGCCCAATACTGTGAATGGTGGCGAAATCCAGAAATTGCACCACCGTTCAGAACCCCCCTGGAATGATGATCCCCCTGCAAATACCAACAAACCTTGGTTGACGTTGGAAGGGGAGCAAACAAAAATTAAACTTTAGCAGTTAAGTGGTTGGATTTCAACCACTCAACCACAAGAAGCAAAAATGATTCAAATGTTTCCCAACGACAACCATGAAACGATGGTTTCAACCATGGTTTCATTTCGTGGTGCAAGACTTCGTCTATCAGTATGGCCCAGGTGACCAAGGGACCCGATGATTGCGACATCCAGAAATTTCGCAGCACTTAACCCGAAACCCATGGTGGAAAACATGGTTTGTTTTTGGTATTTCCCTAGGAGCCCAAGACCTCATTTTTAGAGGCCTTTGGGGGCCAAAGACCCTCACATACAGGGTCTTGGGGCTCCTAGGGTTTGCAGGGCAAGCCGCAGATTCCAGATTCGATTTGTTTGGACATGCCAACAAACAATGGAATTTCAACCATGGGTTCAAAGTCATGCGAAATGGATGTCTGAATTCCCCGAAAAAGCAGGGGACAAGTCAAGTCATTTATTTTTGCATGTCCTTCACAGGAAACTGGCAGGAATTTTGGTCGTGGCTCACGTAATCTTTGGCGACTCCAGTATATAAATATGCAATAAACATATGTCCACATATTTTTTGAGACCCCAGACATGTACATGTTCGTCAGACGTCTCACTTCCTGAGTGGGCTTGATTGTCCCCAGCGGTGTAAAGGCCAGGAACCCACGTGAGTCTACTAGGTCCTCCAGTAGAGAGGATAGCAAAGTTGGTACCAACTTTTATTTCTGTCTATTTTAGTAGGGGTTTCTGTCTATTTTAGTAGGGGAACCCTCCGCCTCCCCAAAAAAAAAGGACACTAAAAGGGCACCGGCCGCCGGGGGACCTTTTTGTCCATGCCGCGCTTGCCGAAGCCGAAGCCGAAGCGAAGCGATCGAAGCGCTTGCGGATCCTGAAGCCACTCGGCCACCCCAGCGGGGCCGTCCACCAAGTGCCATCCGCCCTGGCAACGACTTGTTGCCGTTTTTTTCTCCAGAGGCTCCCGATGTATCGAAGGGGCCCTACAGCCAGGTTTTGAGACCGGGTCCCAAACACCTCCGGGGTGTCGTTTTGGAGGGCTCGGGTCTTCCATTGAAAGCCGATCGGAGCCTCTGGGCAAGGGATTCCTGACTTCAGTGGACCGCCATGTTACCCCGCCTTGAAAAAACACGTCTTCTCTTGGGGATCAAAACAAGCCGCCAAACTGTTTGCATGCCACATAGTCTTCTCAAAAAGTATAAAGTGGCATAAGTTACCCCGGAGTCCTTATAACACACCTGGGTGGAGTGGCAAAACAAGTCGCCAAACTGCTTGCATTCCACTAAAGAGGTCTTCTGAACAAGTATGAAGTCCCATGAACACAGGAAGTGAGTTTTCCGATTCCACCCTGGGATTACACCCTTTTGGGAAGTCGTTCTAAACTTAGATGTGGATCACCCGAACCGCGCTTTAGGAATCTTGGAACCCGACAAAGGCCCGTTGCAAGTTCCAAAACCTTTCCATAGACATCCAAGCCCCTCCAAGGGGCCCAATACTGGCAGCAACAACTTGGAGCCTTGCCATGAAACACCTCGTTTTGCTTTTTGGTTGTTTTGCCGTTTGCCGTCCGTTTTCAGATCCCCTGCTAAAACTGGCAAACTTTTAGTGGGTTCAATGGACACCCAACCACTAAAGCTAAGGAACCGGATGCCTGGGAAAGCTTAAAGCTCAAGTTCCGCGGATTGGTTCCCCGACAGTGGCGAACCTTCTAGGAAGACAACCGCTGGATATACAGCCTTACTCTCCCTATGCCAACTGGAGTCCGGTGATTTCCCCTTTTCCGATACCTTGAATTGGACCTCTGAGCCCCTTTGTCCGGCAAAAACACAGATCAGCGCGAAACAGAGGCACTTTCCCTTTACTCACTGGCTGATTGGATGGCCCAGAAAAAGTCCAAACTTTATATTTACCACCAAAATGGTCTTCCCAAAAAGTTTAAAGTTCGTGAACTCAGGAAGTGAGCTTTTCAACTTGCTTTCGCGGGACCAAATCCCTTTCTCACTCCCTGGGTTTCTGGAGTTTTCTCTACTGGGGTGGATGGGTGGATTCCCATTCTTTTCGACCATCATTAAGCAGCCATTTTCCCTGGGTTTCCTCGGGTTTTCTAGAAAGAAGGCTTAACAAAGGTGGTCAGCTTCCATACCAAGCCAAACACCATATTTGGACAGGCCAAGTTGATGGAATTCAAAAAACCCGCAAGTCGCCCACCAGTTTGAGAAGACCTGGGCGCAGTTTCCACGGCAACTGATTGCTGGAAAGGTCCATCGCCTTTGGTACGTTGAATCGGAAAGCCAGGTGTTCCCAAAAAGTCAAAGAAGCCATTCGGTCACACCAAAGACCATCATGAGTACAGCAAAATGCCAGGCTCTACACTCCTGGGAAAAATAATAATAAGAAGAAACAAAAACACTTCCAGTTAAATTGCGATGTCTCATTCGAGACACGGCGTCATTCCACCTGAACAAACTGCAGCGTGAAAGCAAATTGCACAACTCCCTTTCTGTCAGCAAGGAAGACAAACTTCAAAACAGTACTGGGTGAAACTTGCCATCCACTTTAGCATGTGTGACTACCAGTCGTCATTTGCCTCAAATGCCAGCAGAGACAATGAAGCAACATTTGTTGATGTCAGAATGCGCTGCCATATGTGCCACGATGTTGGTTCCACTGAAACCCCCCTGCATGGGACCGAAACATGCATGCGTTATAGAACTCCTTTTGTCCCTAACATGAAAAGACACTATGCACCCTGATGGCTCATCCGCACAGTCCGTAGAATGCCATATATATATATATGTATATATATAATTCTGGTTCAAGTTCGGAAAATAGCACGAAACCAACTAAAAGCAACCAAAAAGCAAAGGAACCGCATGGCTGGGAGCCACCGAGTTCCTGCTTTCAGTCAAAATTCCATTGGCATTACAGCGGTCTACCCAAAACCCATGTGAGGCACCGAAAGGAACAGGGGTATCTGCGCTGATTTATGGGCCAGTCCCTTCACTTTAACAGGTTTCGAGGTGGCAAAGTTTGTGAGAAAGTCGGTTTTGCCCCAAACCGAGCCGAACCGATGGCCCAAAAAAAAAGCTGAACCATGGGTTCTTGCAACCGCAGTAGTGGCTCAGTTCAGTGACCCCGGAAAAAAAGGGAACCCTTTTTGACAAAAAAAGCACATTTTTAGTGGGGCAGCCACCAAAAAAAAAGGGGAAAAAGGGTGCCACTGAAAAACTGAGGTTGAAAACTTGGGTATGACTTTTAATGAAGGACCTGAATTGACCTCAGAACTCGCGTCTCGATGTATCCCGATGTACTGTGGATGGCTGGACGAAATCCAGAAATCGCACCACCTAGGAAACCCTAAAATGGTTTGACTCCCCTGTAAAGGCCAACGCACAATGGGTTGACAGGTTTCAATGTGGTGCGAAATGGATTTCGCAACCATCCACACTATGTCCACCACTTTCGAAGCTCCGAATGTTGTGTTCTTGTTGAGGGCACCCGTTTTGATGGCTTTCAAGGGAAAACAAATGCTACTTGTAGGGGGTCCCTGAAAGAAGGCATACCCAAATTAACATTCATAGCCACTTGCTAGGTGAAACGCCGAGCGTTGCGCTGTGGACAAAAAGAAGGTGCCGCTTGAAGAAACAACCTGTCAATAGGGGGTGTGCTGAAAAAAACAGCAACAACTCTTACACACCAAACCACTGCTTTTTGGACACTGCTTGGGATTTTGGACATGGACACGGGTCAAAAATAAGCCACCAAAAAATAACACGTTTTAGTCCTTGGTTCCATTTACCAGGGCCCCCCCCCCCCCCCCCCCCATGTTGGGCTGTTGGGCCTAATTTTGACCCACAGCGACATGGGAAAACGCCGCGGTTGGGGGTGGTCGTCCACGTCCCCGGTTGGTTTTGCCGTGTTTTGTTGCATATGGCTGCTACTTGGCCCCCGAACAACATGAGCAGGACATTTCGCACAGATCTCTGCGCAGGGAACACATCCTAACGGATGTTGGACACCCAAGCACCTCATTCCCCTGTCCAACCAAGACCAATAGAAGAACTGGGTGTGGCTCAAAATTTAAGAGCCAGACTGCAGGTTACAAAAAACGTCTGCTCCAACGTTGTTTGTTGGGGCAACGTTGTTTTTTTGGGGCAAAGTTGATTTTTGTTTTGTTTTTTTTGGGGGGGAACGTTGTAATTTTTCCAGGGCAACGACTTTTTGTTTGGAAAATCCGATTCCACAGCTTGGTTGCCACGTCGGATGGACGAAAGACTGCACCAGTTTGAAACCATGGGACACCAATTGTTAGTTTCGTACATCAGAAGGGCAAAAGTTTATGCCTCTTGATGGTTTCTGCAAAACAGTGTGGATCACCCGCGGATCGAATTTCCAACTCCGTTTTATGCGGCGGGAGTGGGACGGGTCAATTCTCACCCTCTTTTAAGTTTAAAATACTTTAGGGGCTTTGGAGTGCGAAAATTCCACCGCGAATGACCCAGCAACAACTTGCAGGATTCTAGGAGGAAAGGCTTGTGTTTCCTGAGACGGCCCAAGAGGCAAAGTTTGGGCCTGCTAGTGTATGTACAAGGGAGTAATCATACCAGGGTTCTTAGTTGGTGCAGGATTCCGCCCCTCCACAGTATCTAGGTCCAGTAGAGAGGTTAGAATAAGGGCACTTGTTTTTTGTAGTCTATTCTTCTAGGGGAACCCTCCCCAAAAAAGGACGGTAAAAGGGCACTACTGGGGGGCCTAGGTATGACTACATTAGAAAATTCACCTCTTGTACCTCGCCTTTTTCTTGCTGTTTTGAGGTCCCACCCAAAAGCTTGGGCGTCAAGGAATGGCTGGAAACTCATGGACTGGCCAAAATCCAGGTACCCAAACTTGCTGTCTAAGCCGCTACCTAGGTGGGGCTTAGCTAAATGGTTAGCACCCACAGTTATAGAGCAAGTGGGTTACAGCCAGGGTTACTGACCATTTAGCTAACTTCCAGACCTTCTAAGTAGAATGGTCCAAACCAAAAAGTGACAAACGTCCATGAACTCGGGAAGCAAGTTGAAGTGGTCCACCCAACACCGAGGTAAAGAACGAAAACTCATTTCCCGAGTTGGTGGGCCCCAAAAAAGTCTAAACTTGTTCTTTACTAGGTCCTCCAGTAGAGAGGTAAGAATAAGGGTACCAACTTGTTTTTCTGTAGTCGATTTTAGCACGGGAACCCTCCCCCAAAAAAGTTGGTAAGAGGGCCAAAACTAGGGGGACCTAGTGTACCACTAGAACGGTCCAAATCTCAACAATGCTTCTGGGCTCCCGTCAGATCCCCCGCTAAAAGTGAATAACTTTTCGTGGGTGAAATTCGGAAACTGCAACACTAAACACTAAAAAGATGGGATGAAAGTACCACTAAACACTAAAAACATGGATGAAAGTACCACTAAACACTAAAAGGATCTGAAAAGCTAAGTTGAAGCGGATGAATCGCTGGGAGCCAGGCTTCCAGCCCATGAGCTCAGGGCTGAGACATGGCGAACCCGGCGCCTGCAGAGGCGCCACGGTGCTGAAGGCCGGGTATGTCCGCCTCACGAGTCAGCACGTCAGGTAGGTTTCCATGGCCTTTGTGGGGGGAATTTCGGGTACCTAAGTTATACGCATGGATATCACCTGCCTGTAGGTTACCACGACAACACCCTCGAAGACGCTGGGTTGCGGAAACTTTAACCCCCAAAGACCTCTAAAAAGGAGGTCTTGGGCTCCTAGCTTACGTTAGAACCATGGTTGCCACCTACTCAAGTTGGTGAAGTTGCTTGGATATCCTGCCGGAAATTGATTTCCAGGCTCCGAGCCGCAAGACTGCGCCCAGTGAGAGCCTTCGACCGAGAGCAAGATCTCAGCTCTTCTTACCCCTCAAAACTCCAAGGATTGGGGAAGAGACATATGGCCCATGTTACCCAAAAAGTTGAAAAGTTGCGTCTTTCAGAGGTAAGTCTTCATTTGGGGTTGAGCATGTTGGCAAAGACTTGGAGCCCCTACAGCACGGATCGATTTATTGGCTTGGGTTTTCCCCGGCAAACCTCAAGGCGCCAAAGCCGTGGTCAGGATTGGTCACGCCGGGCCAAAAGATATAGAACTAAGGGGGGTCCCCTTTTAGTGGGGAGTCCGAACAACGAGCTTCCCTCTTCCAGACAAACCCACCTGAAAAATATGGGGGGGGGGGGTACTTTTATCAGGGGTCCACGTCCAAAAGTTCCCATATCCATCATCCCTCCCCCCAACCTCCGCGAGAAACGCAAAAAAATCGAGTGCTACCTTCCCCATTCTTTCCAGGGATCCTTCTTTTTAGAAAACCTCCGGAAACCCAGCGAAACGCCCGGTTTTTGAACAGAACAAAGGTTGAAAGAATGGACAAGGAATCAACCAGTAGAAAAACACAAGAAGGCAAGCAGCACTTTGACTTGGGATTTGCCTCCAATTGAGACAGCCTGTGGTTTCTTCGGCATTGCATGCTATCCCATCTTGATGCGGGCAAGTTGCCTCCCCTCAACAAAAGAGGATCCCCTGTTGGTGGGGTTTCCCTTCCAAGGGGACTTTGAGAAAGGGAAATACTGGCCGACTATTTTACCCTGGTCAAAGTCAGGGCCATTCAGTGCTGTCCTAGTAGAGAGGTTGGAATAAGGGTACCCGATTTGTTTTTCTGTAGTCTTTTTTAGTAGACGAAAACCCTCCCCCAAAAAAGGACGGCACCTAGCTGGGAGACCTAGAGTGGGTTAAAGGGAAACCACCAACCATTCTCTTGGAGAACCCCCAGAAACAGGACTGAAATCATGCCACAAAACCCAACCGGCTCGCTCCAGTGCAGGCCCTTCAAGGTTCTGGCCAAGTGAGTCATAACCAAAACCGGTAGAAACATGGTGAACCCAGAATGCTTCAAGAATTAAGAAGGCGGAATTCCGCACCTATTTATGGTTGGGATCGTCCCGTACTAACCTTCATCTACCCAAATCAGTTTTGAGGACGACCTCAGGTTGGCTTTTGCCCCGAGATACACTTGGTTGACGTTGGAAGGGAAGCAACCATTCAAGTTTTAGCAGCTTTTTGGGGATTTCAACCGCTAAACCTCAATGAGCGCAAACATGCAAAACTAGGTCCTCCAGTAGAGAGGTTAGAATATGTTGGTAATAGCTTCTTTCCGCTCGTCTATTTTACTAGGGGACCGAATCTCCCAACCAAAGGAAGGGTAAAAGGGCCAAACCTAGGGCGACCACTCGAATTTACTCGAACGGTCGAAACCCAAAAATGGCTTCACGCCCAGAGCTCTGCATCTGCCAGTCGGTTTTTTTCGAGCCCAACCACCATGTTTCCCAAGGGCCAAAACTTGGGGGTTGGGGGGGGGGGTGGGGGCGTTTTTTTTGGGGTTTAAGGGGAAACCACAAATTGGTCCCCCTCATTTTGGGTTGTCCCCCGCAAAAATGCAAAATATCTAGAAGTGGTTTAAAGGGAAGCAAAGAAACGAATCGCCGTTCTTGGGAGAACCCTCCCCCAAAGACACCACAAAAACACTGGGAAACCTAGAAGTTTGAAGAGAAGCAAACACAGGGATCCGGATGCATGAAAAAACACCGATCGAACATTGCAACTTGTAAATGGTGGTTTCCATTTGCGGTGTTGAAAAAGCGGTCCATGTTTCAAGTGTTTGCAAAATGTATCCTGGTTGTTGGGTTGCAATATGGGTGTGGGTCAAAATTAAACCAACACAAGACCGCAGATTTTAGTCCATGTTTCCATTTCTCACGGCAAGCCATTTTGGGGTTACCCGATTTTTGAGCCACAGCCACATTTCCCCTCAAAACATGAGCCCTGCCAAGGGAAACTCGCCTTCAACGAGAAAGCAACATGTTTCATTGCAACTTGTACATGGTGGTGTCCAACTTGATTTTGGTGTTGACAAAGCGGTCCATGTGATGCAACAAAACGGGCTTCCCAAAGACTAACACCCCATATAAAGAGGGGAATGCCCTTGTATCACAGAAGTGGGGAAAAACCCCTTGATCCCACAACCTTCAACGGGAGCAACATGAATTTCTTTTCAGCCCTGCAAAAGCACCTCGGGCCCATTCTCGAGGCCCCTTGGGAGAAACACGTCTCGAGACCCGTTCGCCGTTCGGGCTGTGGTTGAAATGGAAATGGACATGGAAATGACCACGAAGCTGTGATATGACAAGGGCCTAACCCCAAAGACTAAGACCCCCCCAAAAAAGGGGGAGATTCCAACGAAGATGTATCACAGAAGTGGTTGAATAAACCTCCAGGTGATTCCACTGTTCCCACCTCCGACCCCCGACCCCTTCGAGCCTTTTGGAGGTTTTCAAGGGCACCGGCAGCTCCATCTTGGGTGGCCGGGCGCCTTCGCAACTGGAGACTCGCGCCGGGGTGTCTGCAGTTCATCCACTACGTTCTCCCCCCCCCAAAAAAAAAAGAACAAAAACACTCACATGCACACAACAACCCCACCCCCAAAAAAAAACACAAAAAACGAAAAAAAAACACAACAACAAAACAAAAAATCACACTCACAACACACACCCCTCACCCCCCACCCCCCACCCCCCCAAAAAAAAAACACGAAGCATGTGAGCACAAAAACAAATGTGTGTAGGTGAAAACATGAGTGGCTCTTTGTGCTTGCGACTCGGACCCTCAAAAATAGCGGTTTCCCGTTTGGTTGAGCTGGGGTAAACCGCAGGCTTTTATCTTTGAATCCATTTGCCAAAGTGACACTTTGGCACATTTGTTGAGCAGCCATGTGTGCACCTAGACTCTCCATGACCCTTTAACAAAGGGTCATGACCCCTTTCTTTTTGGCAATGACCAACCATTTGTTGAAGGTTCATGGAGAATCTAGGTAGGTAAAACATGTTGACTTCAAGAATTTCTGTGTGATTCTCAAACTTGTGGGGTCATGATTCGCTCCTCTGCACGTTTTCCGCAAGGGTTCCAACTAAAGCACATGTAAACACAGGGGGTGTGAATTCTTTCAAGGGGCCCTTTAAATGGTTGCTTTAACTGAAAACACCCCCAAACATAAGTTTGGGAAACCCGCAGGGTAGGGCATGACCCAGGGTGTTGGGAATGAACCCGGAGAGGAGAAAACAGAATAAACAAAAAAAACACGGGATTACTAAGAAGTTCTAGAAAACAATCTCTCATCTGAGCACCAGTACGTTCTACCCGCCCAAATCCAGATTCCCTTTGACCACCAAAACGGGGTGGAAATACCATTGATGAAGACATCCGTTTTTACAGGCCTCACTGGAAATCCCCAAATTCAAAAGTTGATTAATGTCACCTTTAGGTGTCCCATTGACGTTGCGTTATTTTTTTTCTTCTGGTGGCCCTTGACATGATGCCACTTCTGGGAGGCTCCCGTTTTCGTTTTTTGGGCCTGTTGCAAGCAAAGGTATATATCATCTGGAAAATCTGAGAGAGGGGGTCTCATCCACCTGAGGGAGTGAAGTCGTTTGGGGGGGGAGTTGGATCCCGAGGGCTGCCGGTCGCCAGGGCGCATGCGCAGCAGTGCCAGCCGTCTCGCCACTGCAGATCCGTCTGGACGACGCCGTCCACTTTTGGGACCTGACCGGCGAGAGACGCCGAATGGACGGCAAGAGGTGGTCTCGTAGGCGCAGCCTTCGGTTTGGAGTTGGGTCTGATCCCCTTGTGGCAGTTTGCCACCAAAAAGTGTTTTTTTTTGATTTATAATGTTTTTTTGGGGACCTCTGAATGTTACTCACATCTGGGTTTCAATATTGAGCTGTCCGGTTTCGGATCTGCTCAAAGTGACTCACCGGGTAGCTTCGGAAACCCAACAGAACTGAGCCAGCCAGCAAGCTAAACTAGGTCCTCCAGAATTGAGAGGTTAGAATAAGGGTACCCGTTTTTCTTATTCTTCCTGTTTTACTAGGGGAACCCTCCCCCAACAAATGGAGAGGGGGGACCTAGTAGCTAAGGAACCGCACGGCTGGAAGCTCAGGATTTTCCGCCCCGCTTCGAAACGAAACTTGGGGACCGCAGTAAACGTGCCCATCTATTTTTCCCATGCCTATGGCTACCTCTAGGTTTTACAACAAGTTATGATAGTGTGGCAAGGCGTACATCATGGTTTCCCCAGGTCTACCAAGCAACTTGCCTGAAATCGATGGGTATTTTCGAGAACTGCCATCTCCGAATGACTTCCAAGGCAACTCGGTTGCTTTCTGCTCCCCTACTAAAAGTTTAACTTTTAGTGGTTTAATACGGAAAACCCACTAGTTGGCAAAAAGTTCTCAAGTCCTAACATCCCTTGGCCAAATGCACCAAAGGAAAGTTTGAATACACCAGTTCCGGCAAGACTCCCTTTCACCAGCCTAGACCAATGCAAAGCGCTGGAGTCCACTGACCAACAATTCCCACCGAGAGAGGTTTGAGCAACATCTGGGGTCGAGAAATTGGGAAACATGCCCTTTTGGTGCACACACACACACACACACCAGGCAAGCTTTTGACCCCGGGAAACCTATTTTTGCGCAGTTGTTGATCGGGAAATGAAGGAATGCCAAGGCAAATATATCAAAAGGAAGCAACATCTGGCAATTAATTCCCTGTTGGCCGCTACGGGGTGTCCGGGTGTTGTTGATGCTAGAGGGGACATGGCTGCAACTAGCTGTGAGTTACACCGGCAAATGAAAGTCTTGCAGGGGCCGGGGGTGGGGGGGGGGAGATCTTTTCAGTTCACACTGGCTCATAGGGAGAGGGGAATCAGACCACCTTTGGAGGGGCCGAAAACCACCCCTCCATGAATAAACTGGGGTTGACTAGATTGGGGTCAACATTACTTTTGAGCCTTTTGCTTGACTCGCAGGTTGTCCAACACATCGGATGCGAGCGGTCAAAGTTAGGAATCTTCTCTCAAGAGCACATGGGATATCTAGTCTAGGTCCTCCAGTAGAGAGGATAGAATAAGGGCACCCTGTTTTTCTGTAGTCTCTTTTAGTAGGGGAACCCTCTCCCCAAAAAAGGGCAAAAGGGCACCTAGCTGGGGGACCTAGTAGTGAGTCCCCTGGTTTTCGCGAGAAATTCGGAGCTCGTCTCCGCATTTTTCCCTCAAAAAAACAAGCCGTAGACTTCCATGTTGGACCTGCTTTAATGTGACCACCTCCCCGACCCCAAAAGTGCCACCAGTCATTTGGACCCTCTTTAGTGGAAAAGGGGGTCTGGGTTGGGTTGGGGGGGGGTGGGGGGATGGGTTGCTGTCTGGGTTGGGGTCAGCCAATTCTAGTTTTGTACTGCTTGCCCCGTTTGCTTTTTGCTCGGAGAAGGGGGGGGGTGAAACAACTTTGAATCAAACAGATCATACGGGACCGCAAAACAGTCCCGGGATCCTGAAGGAACAACACTTTCTTTCCACTTGCTTAACAATATGTTGTCTTTTTTTGCTGGTTCTACATGGAATCTATCGCTGGAAATATTTTTAAAAAAATGTGCGGGGGTCTTAACCAAACGGAAGTTTCTCAACTAGCCTCACCATTTGCAAAAGCCCCGGCTCCAACAAAACTATTGACCAAGCCTTAGTGGTGTATGCCCACTTCCTGAGATTGGCCAGAAAAAGTACCCAAACCTTTGGAGGACCAAACTGGTCCAAGCGCAAAAAACGAATAAAGTCCAAAACGGAACTCGGGAAGTCGTGTATGTGGTGATCCTAGGTCCTTTAGTAGAGAGGTTAGAATAAGGGTACCAACTTTTCTTTCTGTACCTAGACTCTCCATGACCCTTAAAAAATGGTTGGTCATTGCCCAAAAGAAAGGGGTCAAATGGGCCCATTTTTCAAGGGTCATGGAGAGTCTAGTCGATTTTAGTAGACGAAAGCCCTCCCCCAAAAAAGTTACGGTAGCTGGGGCACCTAGCTCGGGGACCTAGGATCTTTGGACTTCGAAACTTGCTCCAAGGCCACTTCAACGTAAGAAACCTCAAGTCTCTCAGTTCCTGAGAGGGGGGCAAAAACACGTCAACAAACTTCCTACCCAAAGGCTCCTGGAGCTTTCATTGGAAGATCCGACCTCCACTAGACACCCCGGAGGTGCTTGGGGGTCTCAAAACCTGCCTTGTTTGAGGGCCCAAAATACATCGGGAGCCTCTGATTAGATAGCCAAGATGCGAACGCTTTTCTCAGTCACTGTTGCGATCGGTGTTTGGGGTAAAGTGCATGGAGAAAAAAACAGCAACTGGCGATCCAGGTTATTGTTTTCACCAAATCCCCCCTACCTTTTGGAGAGGGGGGGGGGTCCCCAACAGGAAAAAGGAGCCGAATCATGCACATCTCGTTTCGATCACCCCGCCTCCCCCAGTTCCAGGAAAGGGGTGGGGGATACCACTACAATTGGGTTGTCCCCATGTTAAAGCCCCGGAACTTTCAACGTGAGCCATAATCGAAACCGATCAGCATTAAAATGAGTCTACCCAGAACCGTATAACGACTGTACAAGGAAGAATGCCGCACCCACGTGTGGCACTCGGATCCCGGAAAACCTGCATCTACCCGAATGGGTTTTGAGGACCTGGCTTAGGTGAGTATCTCACTTCCGGATTGGCCCGAACAAATCCAAACTGTATAAACATGGTCCAAACATTCCAAACCCAAAAAGTGCCTAAAGTCCAAAACGGAACTCAGGAAGTGAGGTCTTCTTCCAGGCATCCGATTGGGGCTCCTCCGATTCGGGCGAGCCTCGAATTGGGGCCCCGGCCTTCGAATTGTTGGACTGTGACTTGGACACTGAGAAGCTGTAGCTCAGTGTTTGGCTCCTCACGTCCTCGGCTCGCCAATCCAATTCACCAACGGGCTACCAGACAGATGAAAAGGATTGCTGGTTTTGGAGGTGTGTTATTTCTTTGGTTGCAAGAGGAGGGAATCAACTCGTTCGCCACTCCAATCCACCAATCAGCTTCCGAAGCGGCTTGGAAGTGTTTTGGAGGTTTCCAATCGGTTCAAATCCGCCAAACCAATCCAAGCCCCGGAGTTCCCCCAAAGGGGGGGGGTGTGGAGGAAACACCGGTTTTGGCACAAGGGGTTTGGTGTTCTGTGGGCCAAGACCGAGCGTCAGGCCAACCAGCAAGAGGCAAAAGGCAGAGGAAACTTCACACCAAAAGGAAACTCACTGAAGACTTGGCCCTGATGCTTAGTCACATCAAGAGGAAACTCACCTTCCATTTGGTTGAGACCCATGGAAAAAAGAAAAATATTTCCAATAGTGATGGATTCCCTTTAACCCCAACAGGGGCAACCAAACAAATAGTCTTCAGCAAAAGGAAACTCACTGAAGACTTGGCCCTGCGGCCAGTTTGAAGAAGTTTCGGCTTCGGCTTCGGCAGCCTGCCCTCATTCTTTTGAGCATTTGGTGTCTTACACATTGCGTGGCGTCCTCTCAATTGCCCTCGAAATGGTGATTAGCACAGACGAGAACTCTGGGGTCGGTTGTGAAGCAAGACAAACTTCACTCCAAGGAGTGTTCCACCAGCTACACAAGCTCCAATCCTTTCTGGCGATATGGTGTTGCTGTACGGTTCCGGATGGCTGGTTTCTTTGAAACAACTGTCATATATTGATTCAGAGTCGTAGCAAGGAAGACATGGCACGTTGCAGCCAAATAGTGACTCTTAGTGAGCAATGGTGACTATTCGGGGCTACCAAGAGCCATTAACTTTGCCATGCAACCCCGTGTCACCGGCTCCAAAGCAATTCTTGAAATCTGCTTTTACCCCCTTTGCCTCACTTGCGACCGATTTCCAGCAAAAAAAGCACTTGCTTCGGGATGGGTTTAACTCATCACACCCTTGTCCCTCACGAAAAATGGGTGGCCAACCCGAGATCTCGGGTTCCCTCAAAGCCCAACAATGGCACCCGGCCTCCTCTTCAACCAAGCCCAACAACTTCCACTTGCTTTTTCGCCCACAAGAAATCCAGTAGTGATAGATTCCCTTTGAAACCAAAAGGGGGAAAAAACAAGAATTAGTCTCAAGCAAATGGAAGAAAGACGGCATCCACTAAATAAAAAAACAACTCCAATCTTGTCTGGGGAGACCCCCGACCCTGTCGAGTCGCCAAGAGTTGGCCACTAGCAGACCGGACGCTCCTCAGCGCCGAGTCGAGTCGAGTCGCTGAAGGGACGGTTTCAACGGGAACTGGGCGCTCCCGGGTACCCCTTTTTGGGTTGGTTTTTCTTAAGGGAAACCAACAGGACATTTCACGCACTTGGGTAGGTCCGAATCCTACAAACAGACACATCCAAATTTCGCTGGAGGGTCTCACTGGTGGGTCTCACTGGTGAGGTCTGCGATGTCGTTTGGGGGGTCTTTGGAAGGTCTCTGGTCTTTTGTTTGGTGCACGCCGCACATGCTTCGGCTTGCCGCCGAACACGGGGTGTGTCTTAAAGTAGAGAGACCCCACTAGTTGGCAACTCGGTTTTCCCGGAAACAAAGAAAAAGGCTGCCCCAAAACAAGACGAGCCAACCATACGGGAAGCCGCGCATGTTCTCCCCTTGTCAGGATTTGGGTCACCTTTCGGGGAGTTTGTCATACCCCTGCAGGTTGCTTCGGGTGGTACGTCTTTGTTGAGGATTCGGGCCAACAACTTGGTTGCTGTTCACCCCCCTGCACAAAGTTTAACTTTTTGGTGGTTTAGCGGAAAACACCTTTATTTCAACCAAAAAGTTAAATCCAGTCAAGACAACTACAACACCTCCAAAACTTTGTCCATCCAGTAGGGTCATGTGGCTCAAAATTAAGCAGGGGGGGTTGCGCAGGTTTTGGTCCATGTTTCCACCTGCCAGGGTTCCATTTTGGAATTCCGGGCTTTTTGAGCCACAGCCAAGGCATGGAGCCCAGAATGATCTGCTTTGCTTCGAGGATTAGGCCAAATCCTTGCCCACACTGGGGACAATGAAAGGTGATCACCTCTTGCCGAAAATGAGAACCCAAACTCGGTTGCGAAATCTGCGAAGCCCTGCTAAAAGTGAGTGGTTTAATACGGAAAACCCGTTAGTTGGCAAAAAGTTGAAGTCCTGACATCCAAGCAAAATGCACCAAAGCAAATCAGAACAGAACCAAAAGCTCAGAGGTTGATAGTGGCCCCTCCTGAGCATAGCCTTGACCCTGAATAATGGTTGCCACAAATATGGGGTGACCCCTCTTGATGTCGACCCTCTGGAAAAAGTGTTTAACTTTTGTGGCTTTGAAAATACCAACAAGTTTCAGTCAAAGAAAAACAAAGATCAGTTGCCAAACAGCCAGAAAGATCAGGCCCCCTTGACCAAAAAGCTTGAAGAGGTTAATTTGACTTCATATTTTGAACTAGCACTACCGGGGTCCCCCTTCTGTTTGTTTTATAAAAGTCAGAAGGAGGCTCCAGGAATCCTGGAGAAAGAAAACAAAAAACGCCCTGATCAACCTCTGTACTTGCTTGTGCTCAGGGAATGAGGGAATGACTCTAGGGGTTGATTCCTTGTCCATTCCTGTCAGCCATCCTTCTTTGCAAAAACCGATCGCCATTTCCCCATATTTTTTTTGGTGGTCTTCTAGAAAGACATGCGGATCCCTGGGTTCAGAATGGACATGGGAAAGTTACCCCTAGAATGCACAAGAAAAAACACTATCCATCCCCTATGGTTCCTTTGAGGGGGGCTCATTCAACCACATTCCCTACCGATTTCGCAGCAAGCGGGGGAAGAACAAAAAAAACGCCTTGGTTAACGTTGGAAGGCGAGCCAACATGTTCAAATTTTCGCAGTTCAGTGGTTGGATTTCAACCGCTAAACCACAAGAAGCAAAAGTGGTAAAATGTTTCACAACAACCATGTCTTGCCACCCAAACATGAGAACCCACATCAGAACAGAACATGTCTATTTCTGGCTGGGACTGCCCCTTACTAACCTCATCTACCGGGGTTTTGAGGATGTGGCTCAACTGTTTCCCAACAAATGGAAGTTCTAGGGCAACAAAAAGGAGAACCCTTGTTGGTGGGAGGGGGGAAATGGCTGGGGGAGAAGCAAACCAACTATTCATTTCAGCAAATGGACGTCAATGACGTCAGCCATTCCCCCCCCCCCCCGACCCCCCCAAAGGAACCCAGAGGTTTCCTCGTCCCCCCCCCCAGCCCCCCCTTGTCCCTGCTTTGTTTTTCTTCGCCGCAGGCTCAAGCGCGGGTTCTTCCGCAGGCTGAAGCTGCTGGTGGGCGGCTCCAAGGCCAACTGGGAGCCGGCCATGCGGAGAGGGCGCCCGCGAGCAGGGATCCGGATGCATGAAAAAAAAAACCACCGATCGAACCTTGCGACTTGTAAACGGTGGTGTCCCTTTCTCCATTTGCGGTGGTGAAAAAGCGGTCCATGTTTCAAATGGTTGCAAAATGTATCCTGTTTGTTGGGTTGCAATATGGGTGTGGGTCAAAACTAAACCAACACAAGACCGCAGATTTTAGTTTTTGGGGTTACCCGATTTTTGAGCCACAGCCACATTTCCCCTCAAAACATCACCCCTGCCAAGGGAAACTCACCTTCAACGGGAAAGGTGATGCTTAAAACTACCAACATGGGAAATATAGGGACCTGTCCAATCCACCAAAACTGGAGGTGTCCGGGGGCGGGGGGGGGATGGGGGGATTGGGGGATGGGGGGATGGGGGTATGGGGGTATGGGGGGGATGGGGGGATGAGGGCGGGGGGGGGGGGAAGGAGGTTCTATAACCAACCATACTGTGGACGGAAAGGCGAAATCCGGAAATCGCGCCACTTTATGAAACCATTTTTGAATCAACAGGCTGGTGGGTATAAAGTTGGGGAATCGAATCATTCCAGGGATTGTTAGGCGCATAGTTCTGTCCATCCACAGTATTCCAGAGTATACCCAGACCAACTCCCAGATTTCCACGGGACAAGACAGACCCATATTGACACTTCTCCATTGAATTATCTACAAATTATTCCATGGATGTGTGTTAAAATAGAGAGCCCGCAATGTCTTTGCTTTTCCCTTCAAACCAAACTGTTCAAGGGTTCCCCCTCCACCTCAAAAAACGAAACAAACAAAAAGGTCACATGCAAATCGTGTTGCAAGAAATTGTTAAACCAACTACCTAGGATAAAACTTGGCCTCAACTTGGTACAAACCATTCAGGCTACCCTACAACACAGGATATGGGTGTTTGTGAGTTTGTGAGTTTGTGTGTTTGTGTGTTTGTGTGTTTGTGTGTTTGTGTGTTTGTGTGTGTGTGTGTGTTTGTTTGTTTGTTTGTTTGTTTGTTTGTTTGTTTATTTGTTTGTTTGTTTGTTTGTTTGTTTGTTTCAACAGTGATAACTGGAGGGGCCACTATGTTAGGCCCCTGGTAGATAGATGGCTACATGTAACCCACAGAATGGAGACTACCGACCACGGCGTGTCCCCATGGTTATCACGTCCCAGACCATCTAAATCGTGTTTCCGAAAGACAATCCACTGTGGGCTACGCCCTCCAGTAGAGAGGTTAGAATAAGGGTACCCTTTTTTCTGTAGTCTGTTTTAGTAGGGGAACCCTCCCCCAAAAAAGGGGTGAGAAAGGGCACCTAGCTGGGGGACCTAGTTGCTATGAGTTTTCAAGCTCAAAAGAAAGGGGTCATTGCCCAAAAGAAAGGGTATACAGTTTTTTTTTTTAACCAGGTACATGATGGTTCACCAAGCTGAGAGAGACTCCTGAGAGCCTCTGACCCGCCTGTGCACTGAGGGCGTCTGGGCGGTCCTGACGAGCCCCTCGACTCAAACCAAATGAGCTCGGATGCGACGGTTGTCCTTTGTTTTGGGATTCGGACCCCAAAGATGGTTGTGTGTTCTTGATTTCCTTGTTAAAAAAGAAAAGAAAAAACAACGTGGCTGTGTGTTCTTGATTTCCCTGTTAAAAACAAAACTTAAACAGAAGAAAAACAGCATGGTTGTGTGTTCTTGATTTCCTTGTAAAAAAGGACAAACCCTCATGGATAACCCAACACCTCGTGAACTGGCAAGGTGGCCGCAGCTACTCTGGCGACCGTCCCTTAACCTGCGTCTAATGTTGACCCCGGATTAATAAACCCCTGCTTATTAATATCGGGGTGTTCCCCTCCCAAAGTGATAAATCCCAACTACAGCCAGGGACGCCCCCATATTAATAAACAGGGTTTATTAATCCGGGGTCGACGAGTCTGTTGGTCCAACTGACCATAGATGCGCGGCTGGCTTTGTCCTGACGAGGTATAAGAGTGGCCTCACTTGGGCCTGTCTCTTGGGTCAATGGGAAAGGAAAAAACACCCAACACGAGGGCGAAAGGGTAGTGTTAGACCTCCTTTATCAATAGTCCCCTCTATTGTAGAAAGTTTTTGTGTGATTCGGGCACGAGCCTGTGCCCAGGCAATGGGTTAGTTGGGGTAAACAAGCCACAAAAGAAAGGTTCCCCAAAAGCAAACCAATCCCCGGTCCCAAAGATCAGGGTGTCCCACACACCAGAGAACAACAACCAAAGGAAAACAAACCAAACAGAAAAGGGTTAACCCGCAACCTTGGTCGACAACAGGCCGCACGACTGGTCCCTACCAACCTGGCGGCGGCCCGAGGTCTCTTTCTCCCCCGAGATGCCGTCGGTCGACGCAGGGGTTCGGCGACGCCCATTCGAGGCGCGACGGAACCCAAAACTTGAGCCAAAACACCACAGGTCGGTCACTAACGCGACGTCCCTGATGATGATATGAACCATGGCTAATCACACCCCCCTCACGAGGAGCCCGTCATATGACGGGTGGAGCGTGCCATTTACTGATAGGATTTAACTGCTCGCATGCGTCCGCAAACAGCTGGACACTACCGCCGTCAGCGGTGGAGCAAACCCACAAAGGCAGTTGCGCGACATCCCGGGCATTAAATTCCCGCCACCACCCCGAATTAATCGGGGTAACGCTGTCCAACATACCTTGTGGAAAAGTCCACATGACGACACTAGGTCACAACTGTTTGCATCAACAATGCAAGAAGTTTAATTCTTATCAGAAGCCATGAAAAAGAAAGATAACGTATGTCCAATAGTACCCTCGCCTAACGGCAAGAGATACCTCTGACCATGCGTACCTGAAAAATGCTTGAATTCCGCAAACCCAGGAGTAACCCCCCATCAGTTTGCTTTCCCTCTCACTCACACTGCTTCCGGATGAACACGTCCAGCAGCTCAGCAGCGGTACGGGAGAGACATGACCTCCGCGCCTCAGCGGTCCGGGAGAAACATCACCACCTCCACACCGCGCCGACCATTGGAGAATGGACGCAAGCCTATCGGCCGCAATCCCCGTGACTCAGCCTACCGGCTATCGTCACGTCTCCTCCGGTCACGTCCGCCCCGCGCACGGTCCCTATCACGATCCCTTTCGGATCTCCTGCGATCATCTCGCCTTCGATCTCGCTCCCGATCGAGTGAATCATCATCACGACGATCACGAGCATCGTCCCTCCTCCGGTCGCGATCATCCTCGCGCCGCGGACGGTATCTGCGCCTCCTCGACTCTCTGGAATCCCTGGTGTCCACGGTCCTAACGGACCTCCGAGAAGGAGTACGGGAAACATCCGATTCCCTACGCCTCCTCCCAGATCGAGAGTTCGTCACGATCTGGTTGAGAGCCTCCAGTGCCGACGCCTCCTCACCATTTCTGATGAAATCCCTGACCTGCTTGTTCAGCACTCTGTTGGTGGAGATCGACAAGAAAGCGTCCACCACCGAACTCTCAGGCAGCACCAGGAAGTGACCCTCCACCGGGCTCGCCGCAGCCCGCTCAGCAGACTGCAGCCGGATCTCCCCGCCTTCAGGCTTCTTTGCCATCGCCTTGGAGGCCGTCAAAGGCGCTACCGCATCCTTTGCCGAAGATCTGCCAAGCGCGGAGTGAAGATCATCCCCACTAGCTTCTCTCGCTGCCGCACCTGGTCTGCTGTCGACTTCGCCAGGCCTCGTGGACGCCTCCCGCTTTGTCGACTCCTTCACAGCCTCGTCGGGATCCCAACGGGATTTCCTTTCCCTCTTCTGCCCTTCGGCCGACCCGCGGCTACCGCCAGGAGCGTCACCTCCGCCTATCTTCTCCTTCTTGACCTCAACCTTCGGTTCGGCCTGCTTCGTCTCCTTAGCCACAGCTTTTGGAGCCGGAGCACTCTTCGCCTCAGATGCTGAAGCAGCCTTCCCCCTCGGCTCGGCCTTAGGAACCGGGGTCATTTTAGCCTTTGCACTCGGCCTGGCCCCTTCAACCACCATCTCGGCCCAAGACTTCTTCGGTTGAGCTGCTGCTGTATCAACCTCCATCGGAGCAGGTCCAGCATCATCCTTCGCCTTTGGGACAGATGGGCTACCGCCCTTACCAGATCCTTTACCTGGCACTTCACCTGACTTTGGTGGTGGGCCGGAAGGACTACCGCCCTTACCGCCCTTTTCTCCCTTCTTTCCTTTTCCTTTTCCGCCCTTGGTGACCGGCTCCTGCTTGGGACCAGGACCCGGCGCAGCATGATGCACCGATTGAAGTCCCTCGATGTCCACATTCAATGGTTCGGGTTGACGACCATCAAGAACCGTCCTCACCCTTTCGTCACTAACGTAGACGAACGGGTCACGGAAGGGCGCGGGAGCCTCGGCGCTGATCGCCTTCTGCACCTTGGCTATCGCAACCTCTTCTTCTCATCGTACCCTGTCTCCGATACCATGTACTGCCTGAGCTGCGAAATCAACGCATGACTTTCCAGGATGTCCACGTCCTTTCGATGGGTCGGATACAATGGGGTCAGATGACCAGCCGCGGAGCCAATCACGTATGCCATCGGAATATAGAAGGACAAGTACGTGTCATGGCGAGCGAACTTCCTAACGGAAGTCGTCATACGCCTACCCCATTGAGCAGCGTGCCTTGGGTTAGCCCGGAAGTACTCCGTGACCGACTCAAATCTATCGACTTGGTTGGTCAGAATCAGGTGCTTCGCTACCCACTTCTCCACGAACGCATCCGATGCCGAAATCCCCGACACATAGGAGAATTGGAAGAGCACCTTCGCCAGCTCATCCCACGCCGCATCGACTCCTCCCTTGTCCTCACCAAGATAAGGGGGCAGTCTGATTCCACTCTGCACCGTCATCCTCAGATCAGATGCCATGGAATAGGAAATTAAGTTCCTCTTGATGACTCCGACCACTTCGGTGGGGATCCTCTTGGGCTTGAACTGTCCCATGGTCCTCACCCAC